AGCATTTACTGGACACTTTCGCATGCAGGTTGACTGAATGGAAGCGATTCACCAGCAAGACCCATCACTGGGACGAAACGAGCAACAAACCCCAAAACCTGCCCAACCAGACTCCCTCGTGTATCCAGTCCCAAGCCGACATAAAGCAAAATGCCAACCGAGTGAATGCATCCCACTGGGGCAATCTGGCTCACCGCTCGTATGCCACCAAGTACTGGTGATAAACCCTGGCGGTGCAGGTCGTAGGCACGGTCAGCTGCAGGGGGCCCCCCTTGGCCAGCTGTCGAAGCAACACCCAGCCGTGGCGATCCTTGGCCTGGTGGCTGGCCATGCCGCCGCACTCAACGACGGCTTTGTACAGTGTGAAGAGGTCCAGGGGGATCGACCTGCAAACGCACGGAGCAGCCCGATTACGACGTCATCAGACCCTCATGTGCACGTCCATCGCTCTCATTCTTAAAGTGAATCGGTCCGGGTCGCAAACCCAGGCAGGCTGCTTAACAGAAAGAAAAACGTGTCGCACAATCCTCACCACTGGCACCGCGCAACAGTGTTTGAAGACTGTCTTTGGCCCGGCTAAAATGATCGAGGGCTTCACAGGCGCGATCTCTCTTGTGTTTCAGTGCACGAATGACCTGCTTCACACATTATTGGTGCGAAATGAAAGCATTTCATCCAGCGCGGAATGTTCTTATTAGGGTTGATCGTTGTGGTGCGCACTCCCGGCCAGACCGACAGGAGATGCTGGGGACCGAAGGCTCGTGTACACTGCAGCAGTTTACAGCAGAGCAAGGGAATAACAGGAATTATGTCCTTTATATTCGGTCCGTTCCTCAGTGTCCTTAATTCAGTTCCTATTCTCTCATCACCTCTTAACGCATCCAGCTTTCAATAATACTCAATCAGTTCCCGTTACAATGGTGCCGTGTCCTCACCTTTCTCGCACTTGCTGCGCCCTTTCATCTTGTCTGAGGACGTGTTGCAGAAAGTCAGCAAGGTCATCGTAGAATTCCTGGGCCTGGCACACCGACATGGGCGGCCGTGATGTGTTGGACATGAACACCTGAACGGCCTCATGGTACAGTAGCTGGGCAATCACAGCGTCTGGGAACTCCTGGGCTGCGAGGCACGACTGGAACCTGCGAGGGCGTTGGCAGGCAAACGTGGCCCTTTAGTAGCAGCACCTTCCATGGGGTGTGGCAGTTGAGGCGAGCCATTCCTTCGAGTCGCAAACCTCTGGCAAGGGGTGCTGGCTTACCTAGGAATGCAACTTGAAACAACTACAGATTCGGCTGAGCAGGCCACCAACAGAAAAGTCGATATTTCCAAAATAACTGCATCAGTCAAGTGTGGAGAACTCACCGAAGGTCATTGTTCTTTTCACAGACAAACTGTGATTTGTCCTCCGGCTTCAGATCATGGAGAGGTATCCTGCGCCACTTCCCTGAATTATGCAGTTTTCATTTGGTCAGCATGTGGAAAATCCGCTCAGTGCAGTGGAACTTCATAGCAATTCCAGTAGAGTGGGCTGCATCTGGAGAGTAGGCGAGCACAAGGCCAGTGATTGGCCATACAAAAGGAGGCTATGCTTGGATCTAGATGAGCAAGCATATTCAGATGGCTGGGAAAGTCAAATGAGTTAATGACATGTTGCATGCAGAGAAGAAATTGCTCTGCATTCATTCACATTTAAGAGGCACCACAAAGACTACCTACACAAGGGCTGACTTTGCTCCATACTTGCAAGGTGATCACAACAGTTCGAACTGCTTCTTCAAAAACTGGAAAACAGTTCGTGCACTGAAAACTCCCTTCCCAACAATCAGAGGAAATTTGGCCCTTGCTTTGTGGTACTGCCGCAGCTGCCTACTAAGGAATGAAACCTATTGTGAGGACATATAGAGCATGGTCCACACATGATGTCCTGAATCACCGTGCATCAATCCCGTTGCGAATTTACAGATCTATGCGATCGTACAAGATTGCAACGCATGTGTTAGTTGACAGCACCAAACATCGCCTCTCCAGTGGCATGTGCATAATGCAACTGTGCAGATCGAGATCTGATTCAAATTATCACCTGCACACTTACCACATGACTGGCACTCCAGCCACCTGTGTGTGGGCTCCATTGGAGGAAGGTTCAGAGTGGCAAATGGCAGAAGGCCGCGAACGCCCAATCGCCCACTGGCTGTGTTGTCGCTGCTCCTGTCAACTGGATTGCGAGAAGGCTGTGACAGGACAGGAGACGATGGCGAGCACAACTCCAGATCGTTGGAATAGGACACCGATGAGTGTGTTGCTGTCGTGGTGAACATCCAGCTGGCATCTGCAAGACATTGAAAGATTCAGGACATTCACCAAAATATGACAGTGTGCTTCCTTTGCAACTTCAAAGGGATGATCATCAGCACATCAGAAGAAAGCGCAGATTGAGTGAATTCCCTGCATGTAGAGATTGTGGACGTTCCCCTGAGGAATGCCCTGGTTGCAAAAGAACAGAATACAAAGGCAGCTTTGTTTGGATCCAAATTCGGAAGCCACTATCACTGCACGCCTGTCCCTGCATGCAGGGGATGGGGATCCCTGTTTGCTACTGGACCGTCGTCCACAGAAGACAGCTCCCCAGTAGATCAACCACATGAACAATCCTGGGGCTCAATGCACATGGGTCTGGTGCTGGTGGGTGCCAAAAAATACGGGGACACTATCAATGCTTACTGCACCCCAAATGCTCAGCTTTCGGGGAGCGAAGAGCAAGGGGGGCGGGGGGCAATCAAACCGACCTGCAACTGACGCAGATCTCTTGCGAACGCCGTTCCTCTTTGTCCGTTTGTTTTTTCTCTTCTCCAGCTCCTCCGCCCCATCCTTCTTGGCATATGCCTGGCGGAACACGCACAGGAGCTGCCCCTCGTACGTCACGCTCGACCAGCCGTCATCGGATCTCTTCACAGGGTTCGCCTTCCGCTTCACGTAAAGGGAGAACGCGCTGGGACTGGTGAACGTGCAGCCTTCAAATAGAATGTCGCCGTTGTCTCCCAAATCTGGGCCAAAACACACAACTCACCAACTCGCCAGATCTATCATCCCCATGACGGGGCATCCCCAAAGGCCATGGCCTCCAACCACCTCTGGCGCAAGATCAGGCCTGATCTACAGCCCGCGCGCCCCTCCGCCCCCCATCGTGCATCCCCACCCGCGTTGAAGCGCCCGCAATCAGATGCTCCCCCGACGATGTGCGCGCCCGCGAGGAGCGGGTCGGCGATGCATATGCCAACCACGGGGGGGCAATTTTTTCTAGGCCTCGGGAGGGGACGCCCCTACACGGGGGGAGCCCGGGAGGCCATTCTGACAGTACGACAGCGCGGGCACCTGGCTGGGGGCTTGTTTCGAATCGGGCGCTTTTTGCAACCGCCATCGGGCAATTCCTCAAGTGCGGCGGATCCCCACCCTCAGGGGATCTGAGAGAGCCTGCGGGCCAATCAAACTGGGCTTTGCGCCATCCAAATGGATCGAAAACGCGTCCTGGTCCTCTTCGGGCGCGACTCGCCACAAGCGAGCCCAGACTGGATCGCTCGCCGCTCAGAGGGACCGGCGGATTGCCTCCCCAAACACCGTTCGCGTCCCTCCCCAGGCACCCGCAGCGAGGCCAAACGCTTCTTCCGCGGCGCCTTACAACACCGAAACCGCCTCGGCGGCAGGCAGGCCGCGGCGATTGACTTTCAAGACCGAAGGACTCCGCGGGGCCCGCCCAGATCAAATCTGACCCCCCCTTCCCCTCCCCCCCTATTCCCCCCGCGGGCGGGCGATCGCCTCGCAGGCGCTCGCGCCAATCCGATGCTCACCGGCCTCGTAGCCCCGGCCGGCCACCGAGCAGCTTAGCTTCTGGCGCCCAGGGCTCAGGATGCCCTGATCGATGAGCGTCTGCAGGCTGACGAACCTGCTCCTGGCCATCAACCCGCTGCCGGGATCGTCGCCCTGGTGCGCGGGGCACCCCGGCGGAAAAAAAAAGGCTCGGCCCGGTCGCGCCGTGGGGAGCTAAGCCTGGCCCGGTGGCCGTGCCCTCGGGGTCCGTTGGCGGAGGGGGCGCGCTCGGACGGGGCCTGTTGGGAATGGGCTGGGCACGTGCATTGGGGGTTTGGCAGGGCCTAAGGGCTCGCTCATGGTCAGGGGGAGGAAGGTATGTTAGGAAGAAAGAAAGAAGGGAAAATGACAAAAGGGGGTCCTTTGTGAGATATCTTGACAAAAGGGGGTCCTCTCGGGGGTGCATTTGACAAAAGGGGGTCCTCTGACCGCCCATGATGGGGTGCTGGTTTCCGAATCGCGCGTTGCCGCCGCCTTGGCGCCCGGATGGCCGGTAATGGCCCTCGCGGCCTCGATTGGCCGCGGCTTGCATGGGGCGCACGCTCGGTGCACTCCTAGGTGGTGGGCCCAGATCCCTAGAGGGTCGCTGGGGCCGCAGCGTGGGAGTCCGGGATGCTGCAAGCTCGGTCGCACGGGTTGTGGTCCGATCCGCGCGATCCGGAGGCCGATGCCAGAATCGACAAGCGAGAATGGATTACTGATGTCACAACCGCATGACATTTGTGCGGCAGGGCGTACCGCGTCCCGGGTCGCCCGCCGTGGGCCCAAAAATACCCAAAGTCAACCGTGCTCAGTACAGCCGTCCTCCAAGCTGCCGTAAAGTATTGCAGCTGGCCAGAAATCACCCAAATAACAGAGTGTCCTCCTAGGGCCCTAATCCCATCTACTAGGGCCCTTAATCAGGTTGCCAATTAACATAAATTAAGGCAATAATGTTCCCAATAGGAGGCCTCAAGGAACAGGGGGAAAAGTCAAGGGAGTAAACGGTCTCCCCATGTAATTCCATCACACTACTCCCCCCGCGGGGAAAGTTTTCGCCCTCGAAAACACTGACTCCCATAAATCAGTACATTCTACTATTACCCGATTGTAGACCTAACTAGGGTCCTCAATGGGTTTGTCCCGGGCGATCATTTTCCTCAGTTCCCTGGGGTGATCAAAATTTTCCACTGGCACCCAAGAAGCATCGTCGATCGACCAGTCCTTCCAAAGGACTAGGTATTCTTTGACCCTTCTTTAACTGGGCCTCCTCCAACGCCACCGCAGAAGTTTCTCCACATCGTAGGGCTCATCATCCTCAGGCTCGACCTCCTCCTATGTTTTAGCAACTGTTGCAGGTGTCCATCTCGACACTCGGAATGGACGTAGCAAGCTTGTGTGAAAAATCCTGTGGATCTTCTATGAAGTAGGAAGATCTAATTCGTAGGCCACCGGTCCGACTCTACGGGTCACGAAGAATGGACCTACGAACCTCTTCCTCAGCTTGCTCACAGGTGCGTTCTTCAATGTCAAATGCTGTGTATTGAGAAGCACATGATCTCTACTATGGAACACCTGCTCTCTTCGCCGCTGGTCGGCGAGGGATTTCTATCGTTGTTGAGCCTGATGGACATACTGCATTGCCCTCTTGAAGGTCTTCTGCATTCGGGATATAAAAACATTGACACCCTCAATGCGTGTGGTGTCTGCATCCCGAATCAAGTCGATGGGTGTACACGGCTCATAACTATAGTACAGGTAGAATGGTGTGTACCCCGTAGACTGGGAGACGCTGTTGTTCATGACGAACTCCACTATCGAGAGGTATTTTTCCCAGTCGGCTATCTCTGATGAAGACTCATGTATGGTGCATCGGAGGACCATCTCCACCACCCTGTTCATTATCTCCGTTTATCCATTGGTCTGTGGGTGGTGTGCACTGGACATCCTCAGTCGACTCCCGAACACTCTCCAAAGTTCTCGCCAGAACTTGGACACAAGTTTGGGATCTCTGTCCGATACAATGGAACGTGGAACTCCATGATGTTTTCCAACATTGTCCCAGTAGAGCCGAGCGGTCTCTGCTGCCATAATGGTCTGCTTCACCGGTATCAAGTGTACCATCTTTGTAGCTCGGTCCACTACTGTCAGAATTCCATCGTGTCCATGCTCACTGATTGGTAATCCCATGATGTAGTCCACGCTGACGTCACCCCATTTCTCCTCAAGGAGTTTCAATGGCTGTAGGAGTCCCGCTGGTACTCTGTGGATGCTCTTTTCCATTTGGCGGACCTGACATCCGAGAACTAAGTCTCTAACGTCCACTGTATGGTCTGGCCAATAGAAGTTTTGTTGAACTTTCTTGAGCGTCTTATGGTATCCCAGATGTCCGGAGTAGGGAACTATATGTAACTCCCCCATAATCCTCCTCTTAACCTCCGGTACATCGGGTATAACCACTCTCCATCGGTGTACCTCCGTGTCCTCCTCTCTGCTACGCACCTCCAATAATCCATGAACCTTCCGATAGACATGGGTGCCTATGCAAACGGTCTGTACTTGGGACGAATCCAGTTGTCTCATGATATCGTCCCATCGCACGTCCTCTTGATATCCTTTCTCAATTTGCTCTCTCAGAGATGTATCCAAAGTTATTCGTGTGGACGTCACGAATAAAGAATGGACTCCCTCATCGGTTCCCTCTGTCTGGGGAATCTCCAACTTGGACTTCTTGAATACGTCATCCAATTTCCTCTGTATAGCGTCATCGGACTGATCATCCTCTCCCAACCTCAATCTCTGGACCAACGACTCCTCCTGTGCCCGCACATTCACCATACTGCGGATGTCCCGGACACTCCGATGGGACAGGAGGTCTGCAGGGTTGTCCTTTCCCGGAATATGGACAATGTCGCAATTATACCCCTGCAAGATCTGAACCCATTTCCAAACCCTCCTATTAACCGATGGTTGGTTTGGCAAATTCCTCAGACTGTCGTGGTCCATCTTGATAGTGAAGTGGTTGCAGGCCAAATAATGTCTCCATTTTCCAACCGACCACACAATACCCAATAGCTCCCACTCGTAAGCACTGTACCGCATCTCAGCAGGGTTCATCTTTCGGCTTTCATAACAAATAGGCTATAGTCCACTGCCAAAGTCCTGCTGTAGGATGGCTCCAATTGATACCTCTGAGGCATCTGTTGTTACCACAAATTCCCGGTCAAAGTCTGGTAACTGAAGAACGGGTGCTATCACCATAGCTGTCTTTAGTCGGTTGAATGCCTGCTCCTCTATGTCACTCCACTTCCACTGTCTATTCTTCCTTGTGAGGTCTGTCAGTGGGGCTGCAATCTTGCTAAACCATCTGGTGAACTTCCGGTAGAAGTTAGTCAGCCCCAAAAAGGATCAGATGTCTATGACGCTCTTAGGGGTAGGCCAATTCAGAATTGCCTCGACCTTGGACAATGAGGGTTTCACACCATTTGCCCCCACGTCAAACCCAAGGTACTCGACTTCAGCCCTGAAGAACTTACACTTCTTCAGATGTCTATACAATTTCTCTGACCGAAGTCGATCCAACACTGCCCGGATGTGTCTGATGCGTTCCTCTAATGTCTGGCTATATATCAAAATGTCGTCGGGGAACACCAATACAAATTGGTCAAGGCCATCTCGAAGGATTGTGTTTATGATC